TGAACACCTAGTATTTGGGGTCATAAGGCAAATTTGTGAATTATGTCGCATGCCTAGCCTCATTTTTATTATATACAGCTATACCCCAATTCATTTACTCATTCACAATTTTTGTGCCTCAAAACATATACTGAGGACTACTTTATGTCAGGCACTCTGGCAGTGAGTGTTTAAACATGAGCAACACATCCTTCCTGTGGTCAGTATTTTTCAACTTAGGTTGAGGAATCAAACAATCGAAAGCATGTTATGAAATCTTGTGTGTTGGAAAGACAGGCAGGACGTGGAGGCGGGTGAGACCCCTAAGGCCTAATTAGTTGGGAAGAGGAGCTTCCTGGGAGCCTTTCTGTAAGAAATGCCAGAGGAGCTCTGTCATCTTGTCTACTACAGTGTACTCCCAAGTAGTCATCAACTATCAAGAAAATATATTCGTTTTCTTGAGAATATTTAGTTTGCAAGTATTTTCTCCTGAGTGCATTGAAAGGCTCTGCTTTTTGCAAAAGTAGAGGTTCTTTACTTTATGTGACCCCTTTTGGCAATCTACTATGGACCTCTTCTGTGGAAAACATGTGGTGACTGTGTTTACAAACTCATACATATTTTTTGCATACAGGTTTTAGAAAATCACAGGCTTGAAGTGTCCTTAAAGCTGGTCCCTGGACCCCAGCTTCAGAATTGCAGGACTATAGATCACTGCGGAATTGGGATGTGGGTGGAAGAGACATCATTTAAAGTTAGAGTGTAGGGAATCACAACCTTGGATGGCTTATTTTCACCATATATCCATATATTCTATAAAATGTGCAGTGAAAGCACCCTGTTGTTTTGTTGTTGTTGTTGTTGTTTTGTTTTGTTTTGTTTTGGTCTCTGATAAAAAAAAAATTGTAGTACAATGAATGCAAATAGCCTTTGGGGAAAAACAAAATCTGTGGTTTTCCAAGTCGTTTCAAAATTGTTATTTTTGACATTTTATTTTTGCCTATTGGTTAGCTACATCCCCATTTTTTGACTGGAATCTGAGCAGAATTCCAAACAGATAGTAAATATTCTAATTGTACTGAACATTTCCCTAGTATTGTAATTTATAACCAGTTTCCTATATTGCTTCTGTATATGATATCACTAAACTCAAATCACTGTATTAAATGGGGCTAATGACTGATAATTTATAGTTTTTTAATTAATTAATTAATTTGTTTGTTTATTTTTGGCTGTGTTTGGTCTTCGTTGCTGCGTGCGGGCTTTCTCTAGTTGCGGCAGGTTGGTGGTGCGCGGGCTTCTCATTGTCGTGGCTTCTCTTGTGGAGCACGAGCTCTAGGCACGTGGGCTTCAGTAGTTGTGGCATGCGGGCTCAGTAGTTGTGGCTTACGGGCTCTAGAGCTCAGGCTCAGTAGCTGTGGCACACGGGCTTAGTTGCTCCACAGCATGTGGGATCTTTCTGGGCCAGGGATTGAACCCATGTCCCCTGCATTGGCAGGTGGATTTTTAACACTGTACCACCAGGGAAGCCTGATAATTTATAGTTTTAAAAGTATTTCTTTTTAATTTTTGTTTTTTGATGTAAAATAAATAGAAAATACCATATAGAAAGAAAAACAAAAAGCTCCAAAGTGGACTTGAGAATTACAAATATCTTGGAGCCTATATAAAAAACTATATGTTGGATTACAATGAAAATTCTAAATCCATATTAATATAAATTGTCATTGTCCAGCTTGCTATGCCAATGCATAAGTAAATATTTAACATGTAGAAATAAGTCACTTAGACTAAAGTAGAAGGTGAATTAAGGAAATCTTCAAATGTGTGTAAAAAAAAAGAAATTTTGCATTTTATACTATGTGATAGGTTGAAAATTCTAAGATGTCTATTTTTTGTTGCTGTAGCCAATATCAAGATTTAATGGTGTATATGGCCTACAGTATATCAAGTCTACACACATACGAATTGGCTTAGTCACTCACTATTGCTCCTGAAGCAATTCATGGCATATTCAGAACTGCAAAGCTACTGAGGCTATTAGTTCAGAAAAAAAAAAACAATAAATAAAAAATAGGCTATGTACTCCAGAGCAGTTTCCTCTCCTTCGAGAATCATCTGGTCTTATGCCGTTCTTATCCCAGAAATATTTTTTTTTCTTCTGTGAAGTGTTATATCAACTTGGACTGCTGATCTTCGCTTGATATAATCATCAAGACATGAATCCTATTCTATGTGAAAAGTCACTACAAGAAAATAAAAATCTAAAACACATTTGAGTTTTATTTTACTACTACCTTTATTATATAAATGTATTACAGACAAAATACACTTTATTTGGTTGAATGCTTAAGCTTTCAAGTCAACCAGCTGATTCAGAGAGGAGTAAAATTTATTGTTGGAGAAAAAAAATGATTCTAATAAAGATAATGACAATGATAATTATTTGTAGTAATGAGAGCTTCTTAAAAATGTAGATCTAAGACCTTTCCCCAGACCTACTAAATCAGAGCCTGCATTTTTACCAGATTTGCTGTGATTCCTGGAAAAATAAAAGAGAAGCACTTTTTTAGTGTCCTTAACTGTCCCTCAGCACTAGGGAAGGAAGAGGCAGACTGAGAGTCACTGCCAGTCAGTGCTCACAACTATGTGCCTAGTAAATACACGATAGGAGATTTAAATAACTAGCAAACTTGTATCTACCTTAGAATAGTGAAAAATCTTGAAAAAAAAAGTGCAAAATTTATTTATGAAAACGAACAAGCCTTTATATAATTGAAAAATATTTAGGTAGGCCATCTATTTGTTAGGATGTCTGGCTTTAGGGATGGTGGAGACTTAGCAGTTTCTGCTGCATGTGTATGAAGCTGATTAGAATCTGGATTCAATTTCAGGCATCAAGACCAACTTCTTAGTCAGCACTATTAACTCTTCTACAGACTTCTTCGTCTCTGATATCAAAAGATTGTAAGCATCACTTTACTTCTACAGACTGCCATTCCATTGACAGTAGGGCAGAAGAGAGGGGTTGATGAGCGAATTCTAATTCTAATGAAGATTTTTTCATATGTTGAACTGATAACGCATCTTGAACTAGTTTCTGTTTTCTTCCTTTCTAGATTTACACATAAATAAACCCCTTCTTATGTCAGTTTTGTATAAGCTAACTAAACTAAGTATACAATTTTATATGATAAACCTTTGATCAAAGCCTAAAGCATTGTATAGCTTTCAGGATTGAAATTTATGACTTAAAACTAATTTTATTAATTAGTTTTTATAGCTAAAATTCATACATATTAAGGTTTGAATTTAGTAAAAGTGATTTGAAAAGGATGGATTTTGTCATTTTCTAAATATTTTTCACTTTTTTAACTTGAAATATAGTTGATTTACAATGTTGTGTTAGTTTCAGGTGTACAGCATGGTGATACAGTTTTATATATATATACTTTTTCAGATTCTTTTCCCTTATAGGTGATTACAGTATATTGAGTAGGATTCTCTCTAAATTTTTTAATGTAAATTCCTCCTCTCCTTTTTGGTTTTGCAGAAGAAAAATCTGAAGAAAAAATTTAAAAAGCAAATGTGTAAACCTGTATCAAGAAACAAATATCCCAGAATTTCCATGGCGTTTGTCAATGTTTTACTATTGCACGATTAATTTATTCTCTCTCTTAAATTTGCTACATTTCCTAAAGTTATTATATTTTGACATCTGATAGTACAAAGGGATACTTTTGGACTCAAATAAACAAGGAGGCCATTTTTTGTTATGCAAATGTATATTTCTGACCTTAAAAGAGAATTCACTCACTGGTTTAAATACATTCACAATGGTTTATAGAGCTTTGCTTTATTATTATTATTATTATTATTATTATTATTATTATTATTATTTAGCATAAACTGCTGGGTATAAAAGATAGAGTGTTTCCACGATCAGGGTAATGATTTTGATGCTCCTAAAAATATGGACAATGTCTTATTTGTCATTAATGATGAAAGGTCAGCACCTGGTCATTGCCTAAATAAAAGTTGACTTAATTTATACATTTTATGGAGACTCAGAGGCAATGCCATCTTTAGAGAAAGTGCATTATAACTGTATAAAAATGTGATGAATAAGTTGCTATAACAATGCAATATTCTTTTGTCTCAATTGAACCTCACTTTATGAAGCTATCATAGCACACGTTTAGTTGCTACTACCTCTTCTTCTACCTGTCAGTGAAGACCTGCTGATCTCAGACATCCACTGTAAATATAGGCATTCTTATCAGATTTTCACTTATTTGCAAATTAGCCATGATCGCTGAATTTTCTTCTCTTAGAACCCCCCCACCCCATAAATCTGAGGCCATTTCATTCAAAGAAATAACTTTCTCCCTCTCCCCTCAAATATCAAAGTAAAAAAAGTGGGTCACATCCTTTCACAGGTGGCTCATATTACACTGTAACAGGTCCAGTAAGTTCAGTTACACTTACTTTCTGAAATATCTCTATATCTTTAGGGACCACATTTCCACATTTTTTAGCAATATTTTTCTAATTACCTTTGTTTGCATCGATTTTTGTTCTTAAATAATTTATATTTTAATTGAAATTTTGTTTTTTAGCTGTGTTTTGGGTGACATTGCCTTAGACGATGAAGACTTAAATATCTTTCAAATTGATAGGAGAATTGACCTTACACAGAACCCCTTTGGAAAATTTGGACATACCACAGGTACAGTTGATTATTTGATTCAGTTTGCATTCATTTAGAAGAAAATATACTCTTGAAATCCTAAAATACTCTTTAGATCATTTTTAATATTCCAGTGATCAACTTTGATTTTCTTGATATGAATGAGCCTATTTAGAAATTTAAGTTTTACTCATAGTTTTAATTTTATTAATTAATGTATTTAACAAAGATATTGTAGTGTTTACCATGTACCATGTACCGGGCCTGATTTAAGGCTTTGTTTGCATCAATTTTAAATAATTTATATTTTAATTGAAATTTTGTTTTTTAGCTGTGTTTTGGGGTGACATTGCCTTAGACGATGAAGACTTAAATATCTTTCAAATTGATAGGACAATTGACCTTACACAGAACCCCTTTGGAAAATTTGGACATACCACAGGTACAGTTGATTATTTGATTCAGTTTGCATTCATTTAGAAGAAAATACACTCTTGAAATGCTAAAATACTCTTTAGATCATTTTTAATATTCCAGTGATCAACTTTGATTTTCTTGATATGAATGAGCCTATTTAGAAATTTAAGTTTTATTCATAGTTTTAATTTTATTAATTAATGTATTTAACAAAGATATTGTAGTGTTTACCATGTACCATGTACTGGGCCTGGTTTAAGTACTTTGCAGGTGTTAGCTCTTTGAATTCTCATAATGACCCCATGAAGGTAGCTGCTTATTGTGATTTACAAGTGAGGAGATGGAGATTTACAATGTCACGTAGTTTTCTTATTGTCACATAGCCAGGAAATGACTGAGTCAGGACCAAAATTCAATTCTGAGGAAGGTTAAATTTCATAGTCTTGAACATTATATTCAGTTGCCTCCTATTTAGATATTGAGATGCAAAAAGTAAATTATTCTTAGAGTCATAAATACAAACTTATTTATAAAAATTTATATATCTATTTTTATAATTTTTGTGGAAACCTGGAAGAGAATTTCAATTTCAGCTGTTTGAACATATTTGAATTATGCCTATATGAGACTTGTAATATTTTAAAAGACATTTGTGTCCTCATTTTAAAATATCTGTACTAAAATTTAAAAATTATTTTATATTATCTTGATATAATTTTTATTCTGTATTTTATTTTGGAGAAAAATTGCAAGATTAAAAATGTAAAATTTCTTTTTGTAGTTATCGCTAAAACATTTATTCAGTGTCACGCTTTTTGATTTCATTGAATCTCTCCTTCTGTCCAATGCTATTTTTATTTTCTTCTTGTATTCTATGGAAAATAAAACATAGTTCCTCTGTGGTGTCTAGCAGACAAATATATTTTAGTCTTAAGACTCTTTGCCCAATTTACTTTTTCGCAGCTTTTTATTATGCCATGTTTCAAAGATATCTAAAAGTTCATAGGATAATGCAAGCAACAACCATACACCTTGAAGATTCAGCAGTTGTTCAGTTTACCATATTTGCTCTCTGTATGTGTGTGTGCATGCATACATGTACAAGTATGTATAAAATATTTTGAAGTGAATTGCCAACAACATAGCTTTTCAATATTAAATAGGTTAGCATGCCCTTTTAAGAATAAAGACATTATTGTACATAATCAAAATATTATTACATATAAGAAATTTATGTAAGGTAATAAAACTTAAATAATACAGTACTTAAAAATAATATGCTTTAGCCTTTTTATACATAGTGAGTCTTTTCTGAAACACACACCAAATATATGAGGGAAACTGCTTTGCAGTGTAATCGCAGATAGTACATTCCTATAGGTATGTTTATTGACAGACTCCAACCACTATCTCACACTTAACACTGTCACAGAGACAACGGATTTGGAACAAGAGAGCAATGATATAACTCAGAAAAATCTTAAATTTATCACATTACATTCTAAATTTTTATTAAGGTTTTCATTAGATTCAAGCTTCATTCAGGTCATTTATTTAACCCATTGTCCTCTCTTTGTACTCGGGACATTCATTTTCTGTGGTTTAGAACATTTTAATACTATGTAATTTTGTCATTTCATTTATAGTTAAGCTCTGAAATAGTAACATTTGGAAGTAAAATATCATTATTTAGATAAATAGCATAAAACAGAATTATACTATCAATTATAAAAATCATACTGTAAATATATATGTGAAAGGTACATGTTTCAAAATAATTTGCACTATTCAGTTGAATTTCAAGCATCATAAAGAATTCTATATTTTAGTTTTTTCTTACTCTAACTTTTCCCTTTCTTGTTAGTTTGTGCTGAATTGACTATATTTATTTTCTTATTTCAAAATGTATTGCCTTTCTCAAATATTTATTAGGTTTGTATATTTTTATTTAAAAAATTTTAGAATATATGAGAAATAAACACATATTATGAATTTTCCTTTTTCTATTTCAGTGAACTATCTACACAGAACTTTATTTATATTGCTATAAAAATTATTCAAAAAACATTATTGATTTTGAGAGTCTTGAAATGTTTTTCCTAGCCTACAATTATTCTTATGCTTATAATTACCTTAATATTAACTAAGACATTTCTTTTTTCCTCATAATTAGCCTCCTTCTATACCTATTTATATGTGTTTCAGACCTACTTAATATGCAATATAATTGTTATGCAATGGTCATTTCAAATACATTTTTACTAGCCTTTAAGAATGTTTGTTGTAACTGCTTAGGAATGAATGCATTTAAGTATTACCTCATCTTTCTAAAATATTCAATGAAAAAATTTCAAAAATTTTTCTCAAATGGCACGGCAAAAATGTGACCATGTAATTCAAATAATCAAGCAGATTATTAGTGAACAAGCACTCTAACTTATTTGCCTTATAAGGACTTAATTGATATTTCCTATAAGAGGCTTATATATTAATAATTTTTATTATTGTTTTTGTTTGTTATCAGCTTCAATCTAGGTAATTAGGTTTCAGTATTAATTTCAAAGGGGAAAAAATATTGGAAGGAAATAGTTCAAACTATTTCCATGCAAGAACCCTTTGTGGTTTGCGTGAATTTCTGGTCCTCTTTCATGGTCTTAGCCCACAGGCTTATGAACCACTTGTTTTGATATCATTAGTGATCAAATTACTTGTTTGTTCAATGATACCTCTTTGTATTTGTCTATCAAAGATTCAAGGAGAAGGCAAAATAAGAGATAAAACTGGGAGAGCATTTTGTTAAAGCCCTGGAATTAGAATCAGAAGATTTGGATTTTCGTCAAATGATCTGCTTTCTGATATGACTTTGTTCTTAAAATTGCAAGAAGACATATTTCCTTATGTCACCCTCTCCTCTACATTTTGAGCTATAAAATTCTTTATATCACCTTTATAAATTTTGCAAATTGCATAACATAACAGTGTATTTTGCAGCTGGACGTCCTTTTGGATTCTCACCTTGAGAATTTTTTTTAATTTATGTTATTGGTTTTTATAAATTATAGAAACTAATTTTCAAAATTTACTTGAATACATTATAAAATGTCATATGCTATTAGAAATATCTCAAAATTTATCCAAGCTTTGGGGCAAAAGTTGCACTATACACTTGCTTTTTTTTTCCTGTTGCATTGAGAATTTACATACCTATGCTCTTCTAACATTTTTATTTCCATTTGCTGATTTGCCATCTGAAAATATTTAGTTTATATTGGGAAAATAGCTGGAATGCACTCAACAGGAAAGAACAACTTGTTGTCATCCTATATAATACTATGTGATGTCAAGGTCAGAGTGAAGAAAAATGTTTCAAATTATCAATAGATGACGCAATTGCCATGATGTCCAAATAAAGTCATTTAGATTGCTCTCTTAATTTCTCTTACCCCCTTAGTTTTAGTTACTAAAATTTGTTATTGTAGAATTTTTACCCTCTTCCAAGATTTATGGGTATTCATTACTTTCAGACCACATAAAAAGAGATGTCCAAAGAGAAATCAATGTAGCCTATTACTATTACTTATTTACAAGAACTTTAATTTACAGTGAAGTTAACTTACTGTTTTCTTTTACTCTTTAAGGTGGATTTGGAGACCATGGTATGTCAAAGAAACGAGGGGCCCTCTACCAACTTATAGACAGGATAAGAAGAATTGGCTCTGGTATATCAATGTTTAAAGTTTCAGACACGATGTACAATGAATATTATACTCATAGTAGTTCTGTTTGCCATTAAGCTGCAAATTGTGGAAAGGATATATGCTGAGAAAGAGTCCTTTATTCATTGTTATTTTGTTAGTTGATATCCAACGTAAGTTTTTTAGAACTTAATTGGGGACATTTGAAATATTTTAGCTTATTTGCAGCTTCTCTTTAATAAAAAAATGTATTAGGTGTTTATTTTATTGTTGGTATTTATTTCCAGTAAATTGGTATTTCTATCAAGCATGGATCTACATCAGTTTTAGTCAAATAGAAAAATATCATGGCTGTTTCTTTTGAAATAAAATCCACTTAAATTGTCAAACTGATTAATTAGATTTAAAAAAATAATTGAAAATATTTTTTACCCTTTCAAAAATATATATAGGAAAACTTTCAGAGAAACTGGCTTCTGGCTTAATGATTAGTTAATATTTAAAGTATTGAATTTATTAATCACTATTTGTAGATTTTAGAGTTTCTTTTTCAAGTCTTCTGTTCAAAGTTCATATCCTAACATATCTTAAATTGATTAGTACTAATTAAATATTTTAAAGTGCCTACTTTTAAGGATTAATTTTCCAAAGTGAAGATACTTTGCTCCAGGATATTAAAAAGTTAGACATGTTAGGAACACAGGCATAGGGCGCATACATTCAGTATTCGTTGTGTCTGAAGTGTATGTAAGTGGTAAACTACTTGTATCAACAATGATATATAAATGAGAAAAAAATAATCATGAAAATGTAGGAAAAATAAAACAGTAACAAAAAATTATGAAGGGTCATCAAGAAAAGTTAGTGACTGCAGGCTTGAAAGCTCTTCCACAATAGACTGCATTTTATGTTAGCCTGTTCACCTTGTGTACCGCTCTCTAAATCTTTTCTATTGTGTGGATATGAATCCTGAGGAAATTGAAATAGAGATAGCCCATTGTCCCAGAATCTGAGACTATGTCTGTCTTATTCTATTTCATTTACTATCTCTACAGTGTAATATTCACAATTTTAAGCTGTACTACAGAATATCAATTCTGATTTAAAGGACTAGGGATTTAGCAGGAGTAAGAAAGGTTTTGAACATCATAGGACTTTTTTTTTTTTTTTGCGATGCGCGGGCCTCTCACTGTTGTGGCCTCTCCCGTTGCGTAGCACAGGCTCTGGACATGCAGGCTCAGCAGCCATAGCTCACGGGCCCAGCCGCTCCGCGGCATGTGGGATCTTCCTGGACCAGAGCACGAACCCGTGTCCCCTGCATCGGCAGGCGGACTCTCAAACACTGCGCCACCAGGGAAGCCCTATCATAGGACTTTTTAAATAATGTCTTTTTAATTCTAGTGGTGAATTTCTTAGTGCTTAAATAAAGTAGAAAACAAAAGAATTTTTCTGTGGCTTACAAAGTCTACCTGACTTCTGTCCACTGTGGGCTGTTATACGGAAATTCATCAAATTTGCTCATAGAGCATTAGGAAATAGTATTTTGACATGACCTACTTAAATATTTTAACACTTTTTTCAAGTATGTAATATAAATGAAGTTTTTCTTTAATTCATTTTGACTTCAGGCATATTTATATAAATGTGTAAATAAGGCATTTTACCTTGTCCTTTAAGAGGTAAATGATTCTCTGACCAAGGACTTCTGTTTCACAGAATGTTTTAAATGTCACTGCAGGCTTGGAGAAAAACAACACAGTTAAGGAAAAAGTACCTCTAAAATTCTCAGGGCAAAATGAGAAAAATCGAGTTCCCAGAGCTGCTACATCAAGAACTGAAAGAGTATGGCCTGGAGGTGTTATTCCTTACATTATAGGAGGCAACTTCACTGGTAAGATATTCCCAGAGAGTCTATTTTGATAAAAAAATTAATAATTATCATATAGATTAATTGTATATTTTTAAAGAATACTAACATATAAAACATAGTATTAAATGAAACATGAGAAATATTCCATTCACCTGAGTTGTCAGTTAGGGTGTCTTGAAATTTAAAAATGTATTTAGTCTTGAGTTCTAAGAATCTAAAGAACTATTCTGGTTTTTAAATTGAATTTCAAATGTACCCATTAAATCTGGAAGCTGATTTCAGCTGACAGGAATAATGTATGTCTTGTTCACAGAGCCTTGTACACACATACTTGTAGAGACAGTAAGCTCAAGCCTACTGATTATGAAGGCAGTGTCCACTCTCAAGAGTGGCTCACTGCAGTGGTCGGAGCTAGTATTCTTTGGTTGATGATAGAGGTGGTGTCTGACCTGTGCAGCCAAACTTGGGTTGGAAGAGCCCACTGTTTTATTAATGTCATGCCATTTTTCCAGGCAGCCAGCGAGCCATGTTCAAGCAGGCCATGAGGCACTGGGAAAAGCACACTTGTGTGACTTTCATTGAAAGAGGGGATGAAGAGAGTTACATTGTATTCACATATAGGCCTTGTGGGTAAGTAGAACCAGGGAATGACTTAAGTAAATTTAGAAGGGAAAAAAAATCCATAGGTAAGATTCATTTTTTAATATTTGCTTAGTATTTTGCCCATGAGAGAGTATGAATTTTACATAAGAGAATATTATATATTAAATAAATATACTCTTTGATCACAGACCTCTGTGCATCCTCCACCACCACAGCTGCCTTTCCTTCCATTCTAACTATATGGTGGCATTGCCAACATCCCACTAACCTGAGTTAGAAACCTCAGTATTGTTTTTAGTGATTGAATTTTTAGTGATATCAACAGAAATATTTCTGTTGATATCCACTATGTCTTATGGTTTCCACTTTTATCCCATGTCAGTCCCCTGGTCCATTCATGTCTTTGTACCCTCACACCGGCTGTGCTCCAACTGCTCTCCAGTCTTGCCTAACCAATTCACTGCCACTAGAATTATCTTCAAATATACTCTTCAGAGCAAAATACTACATTTTTGGAGATTCCTCAGTGTTTCCTCCTACAGTGATATTTTCTAGATTTGCTTCTTACAGGGTAACAATACTCTCTTCAAAATAAACTATTCTATAAGTTGTGAAAATGCTGTGTTAAATTTCAATAGGTATTTCTACAAGCAGTGTGCTAAACCTTACTAATATTCAACCAATTGAAAGAAATATAGAGTACAGTGTTCCCTAAACTTACTTTAAAAAGGGAACACCCATCTCACCCTGTTAATAGTGAAGAATGTATATCAGTATTCCAGAACACATTCTGGGAAATGCTAGCCTGAGAATAAAACCTAGATGCTTGGATGTAACATTTAAGGAATGCCATGAACTTACCACAGCTTCCATCTGCTGCTTCTGCTGCCACCACTTCTCTCCACAAATCCCATAATCTAGCCAAGTTACAGTAACAGCAGTTCTCCAAGCAATGCTGTGTACTTTAAAAGATTTTTCATTGTGAAAACTTACAAATTTTTTCTCCCTATATTTCCAGTTAGTTGGAACTTATATTTAAATATTTGAGTATTTAAATTGTTTCCATTTTTGTTTGTTTGTTTGCTAAGAATACTTGATAGGGTGTGCTGTCTATTTTACACTGCATCACATCAAGAGGCACATATGCCTGGACCTACCACTTTAGTGATACTGTGATCAGTGGATTCAAATGGTGACAGCCAGGTCCCTCAATTGTAAGTTCCCATCATTGCAAAATAGTCATTTTCTCATGTTCTTTTCTTTTATTCCTTCTACATTTATTAGCTGAAATTCTTCTATAAAGAGGAATTATCTCTAATCAACTGTAAGTATTTGAATACCCTCTATTATAGTTCACATAGAGAAGTAAAAATAAATGCATAATTCCTTTGGAGGAAATAGTTCATGCCCTAATGACACATATTTTCAGGGTGGAGGAAGTATATATTTCACTAGGTATTGGGGGCATTACATCATCTGGCTTTGTTCTACCATATTTTCCTAGAACATTTAACTTAAAAAGTAATGAGTTTTAATTTTGGCCCTACTTAAATGACATTAGGAAAAATTATACATTATTATTTTTCTATATATTTTGATAGCACCATATTTTTTTTTAGCTGACTTATTTAAGCAATGTTTTCTTCTAAATTACTCTAATTACTTACTCTTGATAAGTTTTGGTTACATTTGAAGTCCCAACTAATTCTTTATATGTATTTAATATTTTAAAATATTAAGGATATTTTAAGGTCCAAATCTAGACTGTCCTTCCTTCCTTCTGATTATCTAATAGGAATGGATATAGCTCAGTTTACATATTTCTAATTATATAATGCATTCAAATCAATACATCTTTTCTTTACCCACCCTTCAATTCTGTAAATACATGCAAAGCACCAATCACTTATTATTTTATTGCTCAAATTCTGTTTGTAACAAATTCATATTTATACTCATTTTATTTTATTAATTTGGCTCTTTTCAAAGTTTTCCATTTCACTTGTTTTACCCTCCTAAACTATTTTTCCCTATTCACTATCATTCCTTCATGTTCGTTTTTGTGATGTTTTAGTTGCTTGAATGCCTTTACTTTCCTTTTTCATCAGTGGAAATCTTTCACATATTTCATGCTCACCCATTTTTGAGCTGCCTGCAGTGAGACTTTGCTCTACAACAGCTGTAATAGCTCCATTTCCACTGTTGGTTCAAATGTCTACCTTCATCAATGATGAGGGCAGGGAGCTTACCTCTGTGTCCCTCATGACACACAGCACATGGCATTATAGGTAGGTGATCAGGAAAGTACCAACAATTTACATGTCAGCTAAAGTACATTGTGTGTAATCCTGAGATTAAAAAATGTAAGAATTCAAAGGGGGTTTGAAGAACATGTACTTCATCAATTTAGAGATGTGAAAACTGAAGTTATGACTTTCCCCAAGGTACTTAAATCTGTAGTTACATTCCTGAAATTAGACTCGAGTTTATTTGTGACTGTTATAGTAGTAATGTCGCATTTTGGTGATTTGTTTTGGTGCTCATTTTCCAGTTCAAAGTTTGCCCTGTATTATTTTTTCAGTGATAGGAAGGATGATACTTTTTATAAAACTTGATCATTGGCCTGCTAATCATTCTAATCATTTTGTGACTTCTAAATTTCATTTGAAATTACCATTATTGGCCACAATTTCATGAAATTATGGTTATTTCATCATTCTTGCTATGATAATGCTGCATTTATATCTCATAAAAATCAATTTAAATTATTAAAGAGTTTGACAGTTGGTATTACACAAAATAGTGAAAGCCATCTGGAATAAGATATATTTTGAGTCAAACATTTAACACTCTATTGGATTTAGTATTGAGTCTTTTCTCCTATAAGAGCTGTGGTATATAATGTATCACATTTAGCAATACCTAGTATAAATATCCATAGAATATGGAGAACCTTTAAGGTGGTGCCATTGATATGGATGACAACATTTATCAGTTCTGTTTCTAGCTTTAATCTAGAAGGCAAATGTGTCTTATTACTCCTTATCACTATCATCACTTTCATTGAGTTTACCCACTAAGTCAGACAACTTGTAGCTCTTGCAATTTTTAAAAATAAAAGCTAAAATAATCTCCATATTTATGGGAGGAATTATTAAATATGGAATCACCTATATCATTTAGACCATTATATTTCCCATCTTATTCAGCTACAGTCAATTTTTATTCAATAAATATTTTTTAGGTGTCTAGTTCCATATCAGGCCTTTGATAGGTGGGAAAATAATAAAATTTTAAAACGCAAAAAGTAGAAATCAGACCTTTTTGCCATTTAGCTCTAGTGTATTTCCTATTTTTAAGTTGTATTATAATCGTACATTATGTTTATATATATTTGTATGCATGTTTTTAGGTATATGATATCTTTGCTTCATCTGCAGTGGACATAAGCTTTAACCCTCATTATTGACAAAAGGTTTGATCTGAGCTATGCATAATTTTCAATGCATGTCTATTAGCTTCAGTGGCATTTATTTATTTTACAAGATTATTAATTATAAACAGCAAAATGTGAGACCATTTAATAATAGAAGTTGTTTGATTTTGTTCTTTGTAAGTCAGAGATTTATGTAACTGAATTTATTACCTTCATCTATTATATGCTGATTTTTAATGATTGCTAAAAAACAATCAAACAAACAAACGTAGAGTTAACTTATTTTCTTATTTTCTAGATTTCATATGCTTTAATTGTATTTAACTTTGGTAAGTTTGACTATTCAGACTGTAACAGTAGTCACTTATTCATCTTTTCTTATTGAATTCTCATTTTGTGCCACTTAGTATACTAACTTTGGGGACTATAAAATTGAATGTAAGTTGTTTTCTCTCTGCAAGGATATTATAGTTAGGCAGAGGAAATGTGCTAGCCAGGATTCTTGTTCTCAAGCAAGCAGAGACTGGCTAACTTAAGAAGAAAAAAATAGTTGTTTTAAAGGAATTTATAGAATTATACTAATAGAAAAAGTGGAGAGCCAGGCTGAAGGAGGAGTCTTCTTCTTGCTGAAGCAAGAGCATGTTGAACTCCTCAGCTTGAGCATTTCCACCACTTATTTGGATGCTTGCTGCTAATTACTAGAGTCTTAGCTCTGCCCTGCACTTAGGAGATCTGTTCTTTCAATAAGTATTTATTTATTAAAATTTTTGACTTTTTATTTTTCAAAAATTTTCCAGTTTTATTGAGATATAATTGACATACAACATAGTGTTTTAGGTGTATAACATGATGATTTTAGACTTGTATATATTGTGAAGTGATCACCACAATAAGTTTAGTTAACATCCATCATCATACTTAGTTACACGTGTTTTTTTTTTCTTGTGATGAGAACTTTTGAGATCTACTCTCTTAGTAACTTTAAAATATATGATATGGTATTGTTAACTTTAGTCACCATGCTGCACATTACAGCTTCAGAAATTACTTATTGTGTAGCTGGAAGTCTGTACATTTTGACCCCCTTTCATCCATTTCACCCACCCTTAGCCCCCACCTCTGGCAACCACCAATACGTTCTCTGTAACTATTGAGTTCTGTTATGTGCCAGGCTGTATGCTAGGAGCTAGCATTATAGCATGAGCAAAACAGGTACACTTTCTGCCCACCAAAAGCTTACATTCTAGGTGGGGAGGCAAAAACCCTGCAAAGGTAAATGAAATATAAAATATTTTAACAGACAATAAATTCTAGGACAAAACGGAAAGTAGTGTAAGTGGGATGGAAGGACATTTGCACAGAACTTGAAAGAGGAGGAAACAAGCAATATGTATATCTGGGAAACAGAGTTCCTGACAGAGAAAATACACAGTAAAAAGGCTCTGAGGCAAGAGTATGTCTGCATGCTTAGGGCACAACAAGGAAACTTCATGGCTCGAGTGGAGTGACAGGGATGATAATAAGAGATGATATCTATATGATAAGATATTTGTGTGTGAAGATTGTGTAAGATCTTATAGTTTTTTTTAAT